TAGCAATCCACGGTGATTAGGAATGTATATCAATTTGTGAATCTCCATTTAGAAGGAAAAGTTGGTTGGAAAGAATTCCTGATGTGGTCTCACCGGAAACCGAATAAGATGTTGTGGTTTCTGGTATGGTCGCAGTCTCCTTTCGATTTATAGAAGTGGCTTGACTTCGCTGTCGCAACTTGGTATTGTTGTCAGGACGACTTAGTAGAACGCACCTAGTCCGAAGTAGTCTGCCATAGTAGTTGCCATTATTTCCAGCATCAGACAATGGACTTGGTAGATTCTCAAACGTTTCGCCGGCATCGTAGTCGGCATCATCAGTGAGCTTTGCCATTCTTCGTACCAAACTAAGAACTCGTCAATCCCTCGACAAGCGTTCTGCACAAAAAGGTCACACTATCACTCATCTTTCTGTCCTGGCCTATCTATCTACTCTTTACCTTCATATCCCACTGCCGCCCTATCACAACTTCTGACTTGTTTACATTCCACTTTTGTGGCAAATCTAGTGTGGGGTCATCACACTTGCTATTCACCCCGACCCCCTCTCTTTCGATCTGCTGATCCGTCTCGGGCCTCCGATCAGGATTCCCTCATTGTCTCGTAGATCCGTTCCGTACATTTCTGGTTGACATATTTAACTCGGTTCTAGTCCCCGTGTGCCCTAAAATCAGGTACACTGCCGCTTTATTGAGCAGAGCTCCTAAGCTCTGATTCCCATGCTTGCAGATATCAGGCCTTCCATTCACGAGTCCTCTTCTTGATTAAACCCATGTTATCTGAACAAACTGTGTACGCCTATCTCTGGTCGCATGCGGCCTCTCAAGTGGATTTCTCGTACATTTTGGCCATAACGCCGAATTTCCGTTATGGTATGTTTATCCGTCTGCCTAGCTCCCCGACTGCCATGCCCCTAAAGTTGTACTAGTTTATTCGAAATAGACATCACTCACTGACAACATATTCGCTTAATTGCCGAAAACCCCTGCCCCCCACTTTCTTCATCGCGATTCCTTTTCCTCCGGTTAGCTGTAGATCCTTGATACAGGCGTCTCATTTTTGCTGGTCTTGCTCTATTCTTGTTTTCCTCGAGTTTGCTTGGACAGTAGGCAAAATTATCGCTAACTCTACCTTCCTCGAATCTCCTCTTCATTAAATTCCCCATCCAAGGATGTAAATGCCCTCCCTTATCTTCCGCTTCCTTATATTGTCACCCTATGGGGCTCTTCTTTCTGTTGCCTTCCAATTGACCTTGTGTCCAATCTGTGCAATGTGTTCCGCTAGTTCCGATATTCCAGTACCCATTTTCCTGGAGAGCCTCTGATCTTCCTTGATTCATGTGCTAATTTTTCTCCCTGTTTCGCCAATATATTTCTGTACATGATATACAGTGAATCCCTGAACAATGCAATTTATCTACCCTTTCATGTTGCGTCGGTAGACTTGTGCAAAGTGTTGATTTCTCTTTCATGGCCACCTGAATATTCCATTTACTCAATATTGGCCGTAGTTTCTGAGTTATTTCGCATCCTTCATTGTCCTTACTGTTCCTTCATAGTCCCCGTTCTGCCATCGGCTTTTCACGGCCCGTATTTTTCTTTTTATCACTTCGATTGGGTAGCCATTGCCGAGTATTATCCTAGTCAATTCATTCAGTTCCTTGTCCCTGAATTCTACATCCGTTAGGTGTAGGCTTCGGATGATCATGCTCCTCAATATTCCAATTTTTAACCTGTAATTGTGATTAAACCGGAAATTGAGTATTATCCCAGCATAGGAATTCTTTCTGAACAATCTCTATTTGAGCGTCCCATTAGAGTGAATCACTTCAACGTCCAGGAACGGTAACCGTTCACCTTCCTATACTTCCAGCGTGAATTGAATTTTTTCATTAATCTGGTTTACAAACTTCAGAAACTCTTCGAGTTTTTCTCTTCCATGTGACCAAAGTGTGAAATAATCATCCAGATACCGCATGAGCACTGCCGGTTGTAGCGGTGCCATCTTGAACTTCTCTTCTATTTTGTTCATGCATACGTTCGCCAATAGTGGAGAGCTGCGATCCCATAGGAAGTCCAAATATTTGTTCATAGATGTTTCCGTTGAATGTAAAATAGCTTGTCCTTATTGTCAAGTTGAATTGTCTTGTTAACGACTCCCTACCGATCCGTTGTGATTCCAGGATATCCTCCTCTCGGTTCAGTATTTCCAGCAGGGCCATTAGCACATTTTCTTCAAAGATGTTTGTATACATCGATTCCACATCGAATAAGGATTGTCGCGTAAGGTGGACTGTTGAATTGTGCGAAGAAGTCCTCGGCT